TCTCTCTCTCTCTCTCTATCTGCTGTCTGTGCGTTCCATTGCTAGACAATGGCACTGGCTATTCCGCGCCACGATTTTTCCGGCTGCCGAATAAAGAAAGGGCAGCCGAGGGAGATAGGGGAGAGATCGTAGAAAGAGAACTCGCGCGAGCGCGTCTCCGGCAGCAGACCCCGCTAGAAAGAGGATAATTCCCTGTAAGTGGATAATGCCTCCGACGGTGCTCCTTGCCTACGCACTCGAAGATCGTACTCCAACCTCCTGCTTCCTCTCCTCTTCCGTTCTCGATTCTCCTTTTCCTACCGTCGTTTCGCATGGTAGTTTTGTGGCTGGTGGTTGAAGGCTTTGTAGTTTCGAGCCTGGGCAATCTCTCTGTCGCTCTTTTCTATCGTTTCTATCTACGGCCGGACTCTGTCTCCCTCTTTCTGCAAGAGGATCTTATTGTACGACTCGCTTTCAAAGTTCCACTCGTTGCACCCGGACGCGCCACCACCGTGGAATTCGCGTTTTTCCTTCTTCGTCTCCTTCTCTCACCTTCTATCTCTCCCTTCGCTTCACCGTCTCCCCTTACTCCCCTTCTCCCTGCCCTTCCCCCCCAGCTGGTTCTAGGGTTTTATCGCGCGAGATACCCTCGCTGCCGTTTGCGGTTCATCCTCCAATTATCCCTAATACAGAGAATACCATGGCAGCGTTATTATTACTCCTCGGCTATTCCCGATTGTATACTCTTTTCTACAGATTTTCGTTCGTAACACGTTGTAGACGCATGAGTCTGAACTTGGACGACCTGGTTTCTCCGATCGAAGACGCACCAAATCTGTTCAGAGTACTCGATCGTTTAATGTTTCAAGTCCAAATGCTTGCAGGATAACAAAGAATTTCTCTTGCGACGGCATATCAAAATGGTGATTATATAGTGAAATCGTGAAGGAAGCCTTCTGAAGGCAAGTAAAATCTTGCAATTGTGTGCAAATCAACAAGTGTGTACGTAAAATCGAAACTTTCGCACATTGTCAAAAACTGGGATCCGTTCTATCTCGTAAGAATCAGTCTTCAATATTTCACCCTGGTAATCGAAGTTCGAGTCTTCGCCACTTTCGGGTTTATCCCAAAGAAATCGAAGATATACTCGAAGAGGGGGGAAATGTTCAACGAACGGGTTAGCTCGAGGTCGTCGATAATTATCGTACTTCGAGACGAACGTTCGAGTACGTGCGAACTGTCGATGGTACGTCCCTCACGGTCGAAACGAACGAAGGAACGATGGTAATACTGGTTCGTCGTTAAATCTACGGTGCAGTTTCGCGTAGAGTTTCGCACAGCTACGGTGTCTGAAAGGCAAAGAACAGACGGTCGAATGACGCACCGCCCTAAAATCTACATTTATCCTTCGAATTTTATAGGCTGCCGCCAGAGAACGATTTTGCCGGGACCAAAGGCTTCCCTCTTTGACGGCGTTTCCTGCAACAGTTAGGCTAAATGCTCGGCGCGGCACGATCGCAATGACTTTTACGACGGTCAAGTCCCTGAGATGGTTCTTACGATGGATCATAAATCATAAACATGTCAGCTGTTAACATTCGATCGGTATGCTATCGCGCGAGGCGATGATAGTGCTGCCTAGGCTCTATTTCGAAATCTTTGCTGGGACAACGATCGACGCGCGTTATTTCGAACGAGAGCCCACAAAGTTGCCGCGTACTTTAACAGTCACGCGTGAATGCTGAAGTACAGATCCCTTTCTCCTTGCCGAGTTGTTGTCGTGCACTTACTTCGACGATCATAAAAAATCATCGCGCGAACAGAACACGACAATCCGTCGAGAGTATCAGGTAGAAACGATCGATCTAGGAAGAGGAGTAGTCTAGCTTCCACGAAGAACGACGAAACGGGGAAGCAAATTTCCCGCACGACCAAACGCGGCAGAACACGTAGGTGCAAGCAGGAAGATACTGCAACTGGAAGCATACGGAACTGGTAGAAATCTGCCACTATCGTTTCCAGACCTCGAACAGCGCGAGATATTCCGCGTGAAGCGTTCGCACAGCGGTGAGAACGAGTTCGCTCGCGTATCGTCGCCCATGTTTCCCATGGATGTCGGAGAAATCCATAACGTCAGCCACTAGTAGGCAAAGCACAATCTTATTGGCTCTCTTCCCGTTGCCCGGCACACTGAGCCTGCCGAGCTTGAGAGCTGATAGCGTCCAAGCTGACGAGTCCATAAGCCAAGTTTTCGAGGTGCATCCTGAGACTGTGGCGAACGCGCGCGTGTTCCAGTATCGTGCACACCAGGTTGCTCGCGTACAAGCACACGAGTATTTCCACGTACGGGGATGACTTGGTAGAGGAGCAGCGGGACAGGGATCAGCGAAGACCTCGGCCGAGCACAGTTTTGTTATGAGAATCGTATAATATTCCAGTCAGACCCGCGGCTGTACAACGGGCATTGGTATCCGCGAGCTGAATGACAATTCGGCGGATCCGAAGCGCTGGGTAATTGCCAGCTTAGCCAATCATTATAACGTGTACGGTGGATATGCCTGCCTGCGGGTTGACAGGCCTCGAATAACCGGCCGTTAACGGACGGTTGACATTCGTGATTTACGTGGATGCGCCATAAATCTGGCCAGCTCTGGAACCTAGACCCCTAACGCTCGTGGCCTTTTTAACATGCTACGACCGATTCGTTTTAAAGCTTCGGCTACCTTATTTGGTACATTTGTCCTGCCGTTTCGTAGATTAACCATTGGTAAATGTATTCCGTGGCTTCCAGTGTACGGAGGATTATTGTGTTTGCTATATGGTTTAACGTTTGACGGATGACAAACGGTTGAAGCTTGACACAAGCTTGATCGTGATAACTTGATCACGAGTCGCGAGTGTGGTATACCAGATATGTGGAAAGGTCTTCTTTCCAATCTTATTTTCTGGAAAAATTAACTCTGCTTCAAACTCACAAATGTTTAGTTTCTACGTCTTTCTCTTTATGATTTTTCATCCACTCGAGTTCACGAATGTCCTCGATTTACTGCGATAATCAAAATCCCAAGGGGAAACTGTCCATGTTAAGAATTGAGTCAAATGCTCGGCTTCTCTCGCCAAGAAGAGGCGAACAATCGCAACGATGTTTCTCGAGGTGAATCGGAATACGATAAATTATTGCGAATAATAATGTCATCGCGTACGGTGGAGAGTAGTCGTTAAATAGAAGGTAATACAATCGTGCTGCTAATGACCGGAGTAGGAGAGTTGTTTCTTAGTATAACAACGCCAGCGACCATAGATACTTTGTCACGCGTAGAATATGTACGAGTCCCAGCGAATCATTAGTAAGGTATTCGCCTTGAACGCTGCTGCTTTGCTTAGCCCCGACGCTTTCATAGATTTTAATCATCCATGGATCAACCGTACATTGCCACCTAAATGATATCCTGTCTTTCCTTTTTCATGCAACGAACGCGATACCTCATTGCCATTAATTTTTATGTTTCGATGAAACCAAGGAAACTACATCGTCTCGTCATTCTTCGAACGTGGATATCGACGCAAGCACGTGTGTCATTTTGTAATATTTTGTAATATTTATGCTAATTTTCTAATCGATCTCGTAGAAATTTAATTATTTAAATTTAATTACTTTTTTCTGTATTGGAAATCGTTGTTCGATTTTGAATTTTAGATTTCCAAGAAATAATTACTCCTGCGTGAGAATAATTCAATAACGCAGGTAGAAATAAACGCGATGATTTATCGAGGCGGATTTTAAAAAAAATTCACCTAATGGCCTGCAGATACGAGTTCCAATTCGAAAGAAAGAATGAAAGAAAGAAACAACGAGTGGAAGTCACAAATTGGAATTTACGTCACATAGTTCTCGAATTGGTGTGCCGGTTATTTTTACGTGCTACGCGAAGAATGAATAATAAACCGCGTATCCGCGTTTCAACTTCTGTACGTTTGAGAACTGAGCATAACTGTTTCAAGTTGCGTGGGTATATTCGTAGTATAAATGGATATTGACAAAACCATCTAATTAGACTTGTGGCGAATATACCCAAGTGAAAGGTTCGTAGGCGTGGCAGGAAATGCGCAATGGATGGGAAACATGATAGCACACATTAAATATATATGACCGCGAAAACCCGAGGCTAAGAAAGTTACTATACCGCAAAAGGTTAATTACTACGCAGAGTATTATTCTTATTACTAGCAATACGCTGATATTTCCTTTATGTTACCGAATCGGACATTTCTAATCGAACGAGATCACCTTTGCTATTACGCACGATATAACTTAATCCTTGTTCAACGTAAATTGAGTCACTCCTGTCACGATCGTGGAATATTTAATTCTATTTTATTATTATATTTCGTAAAGCGAATAGTAATTGCACGTACTGTATTTTATTAAATTTTCCATCTCCATTTAAAATTTATTTTTAAAAAAATGAAAATATTTGTATACTTCTCTCGTCTCCAATAAATCGTTTTTCTGAATCGTTTTTCTAAAAGCACTACTAAATAAAATTAGACTAACACGGCTAAATTTTAATTAATTAATTTTAGGAAATTTTTAGATCAACGAACTAAATATTAATTAATTAATTTTAGAAAATAATTAATTTGGAAAGCAACATCATCTGATAATTAACACGTATGGATCATTCACCCTATATCATGACACGGTACTTGGAACATTTATTTCCATTTTATTCGCACTATCAAACGCGTATGCGTGAAACACGGCGCGCTATGTAAATTATTTCGGATGCAGTACATGGCTCGCGAGCTCGTTAGTTAAAGGGAATTATTGCGACCCGTAAAGAGAATCGCGAGGAAGGATCGAACGTATTAATGCGTTCAAGGAAGGTATTGGCCGTGTAACGTTCCGAGTTTCTGTTTCAGGAACCGTACAACGTTTCGCGGAACACAACGGCTCGCAAGCGGCCGTCGTGCAGGCGTTAAAGATCTGATGCCCGCTAATGACGAAGTCTTGTGTTCACGTGTTGACACTAACTGATCACGAAAAGCAGGACGAAGAAGTGTCAATGATTGCTTCGCTGTGTCATCCTGTCCGTTTGATAAATGGTCGGGAATTCTAATAATATAATACACATTTCAGAACGGAGCGTGCGTTTGATATTTTCTTTTTCAAATTTTCAAAGGCTCGAGTATCCTTCTCGCGGTCACAATTATCACTCACGATTCCAGCCAGAACACAGAATACGTTCGTTACGACTGATTTCTCTCGGCGTCGCTAATAGCTCTTGAAGATTGTGACTCAATTAAACCATCATATCACGTTTCTTGTCTCTATCTCGTAAAAGTTTCACGGCCAAATAGATTCTCGCGTCGTTAATATTTCTTCTTTCTTTAAAAAAAAAAAAAAAAAAAAAAAACATCATCGAAAATTATCGATCTAAACAGCTGCCCGTGAATCGTTTCTTACAACAGACATACAAATAAGAGTACGTAACAAGAGGTGAGAAAAAGTAATAAGCTAATAATAAAACGCTTTTTTGTTATTAGATTGAAAATATCGTTCGGATGGACAGGGTGTACCGAGAAATCCAGTCATCCGCTAGAAGAATCTCCGCACGATCCGAACAAGGGCTGGTCGTGCAAGCGTTAAGGATCCGATGACGCTAATGACACGGCCGTGTGTCCGCGTATTGACGCTAACTGGACTGACCGCGAAGGAGGAAAGCAAGAAGAAGAAGAGAAAGGAAGAAGAGGCAGAAGAGAGGAGAAGGAAGAGGTGGTGATGGTTTGCAGTACCACGTTTAGAGGAGAGGACTGGTGCGCACCAGAGGTAACAAACGTCT